TATTCTATGACAAGGGAGAAGACCTTCATTCTGGCCTGGGATCACTATCCAATCTCTTCATTTCTTGCTCTACCAGTCTTGCCATATTTTGCCCTCAATAGCTTAGTTACAGATTATCACATGTATATTAAAAAAAAAATACCTTAAATAAACCATCTAACAATCCTTGAGCAAGGCAAAGCTTTCTGTTGGATGGTTCCCTCCTGAGGAATGGATGAAAATACACATGACAAATATTAGTCAGATCACTGAAATTAAGCCTGTAGGCATTTTTGAATGGAGGAACTGGGAATATGGCCAACCTGGAGAAAATGTCATAGCAAAGGAGAAATAAGAGCTTCCTCTGGGCAGAAAGAGCAAGAGAGCTAGCTGGCCAGGATGCCTACAATGTGGCATGTTACCATGAATATTCATCCTTAGAGATAATGTAGATAAAGTCATTTCATGGCTCTCAGGACTATCTCCTTTGTCAGGAAGGTCAAAAGCAGTTAGTTATCTGCAAAATGTAAACAGGTATTTGTCAGCTAATCAATTATCCAGGTTAGTCACTAGTCCTGTTTCCAGTAGAAAGGAGCCAGCAGTATATGCTCCCTCTGTCACTGAGACGACATACTGTCAGCTCTGCTTGCTATGACATAAGGTTATCTTCCCATCCCCAGTGAGGCTGGTGAGCTGCATGAACTGTCTGCTGATGTTTTAAACTGTGATACTGCAAACTCCACAGGTTTCTACAATCTGTTTTACATTCCCTAGTTATTGGATGTACTGAGCTAGTAGAGAGGGAGTTCTTTGTTCTGGTCTTTCCTCTCATGTTCACCCAAAGTTTTGAGAAAAAAGAAATGCTGAAATTTCTACCCAACAGCGGTACTTGCTGCACAGTACAGGAGTGATCGCTCACGGCGAATGTGTCATTTTTTACTTCAGACATTTTTTCCACTCATTAATCTGCTATAAAATTTACAGAATGGGGATCACATGAGAATTGCTGTTTCCTTTAAATTAAATTTACAACTGTGCTCTAGTTGAGCAGTGACAGCATATGGGTAAGAGGCACATCCTGGTTCCTAGTATGCTGGCCTGTCAGCCTGCTGGAATGAAGGACAGCAGATATCATCAAAGTCACAAGTTCTGCTGGGCTTCCCCTTGTTTATGCAGGGAGGCCACTTTAGGCAAGACTTACTGAGGTATTTGGGTATCTGAAAGGTTCAGTGACCTCAGATGATTTGGAAAATATCTTGTTGGAAACAACAGTTTCCTCTTTTGGGTTTGAGTTTTTCTGGCAGCTGAAGCTGGCAGAACAGCTCTTCCCCCCGTTTACTTCTCAGAACAGCACCATCTGAGTCTCTGATTCTCCTCCAAGTGTTGCAAGGGGATGTCTGCCCCATCATGAAAATCACAATGTACAGTTCCTGCCACACACCATTTTTTTTTCTGTACACATAGTCTTTTTCAGCACTAACACTTCATCCTTTGACCATGGGAGGGGGAGAAGGGATACAGACATATTTGTGGCAAGTTTCAACTTTTTAAAAGCATAGTGATAGAGAAAAATCCAGGCAATAAATGCATGGATGCCTTCCCTGCTCTTCCCTGGTGAATGTTACTAGTTACTAGTGAATGTTATTCCTAGAATACTTGGTGCTGAAAATAAAATGGGCTTTTTAAGGCAGAGAAGTATGAGATCAAGAAGAGAGGGGACCAGCTCCTTAGTTTTTTTGAGTCTGGGGAAGGCAAGGTTTTACTCTATTTTTTTTTTAACCTATTAATTCTGCAGACTGATTTGTGATTTCAATCACATTCTTATTACAGATAGGAATCTGATTTCAAATCACATTCTTATTACAGATGGGGTTTATTGGGGCATTTTACAGATTTTTGCCACCTTAGCAGACACTCAAATTTGTCTTTACTGTCCAGCTGCAGAAGTGAAAACTGAGAATTAAGCAGTGAATTGATGCTTAGAGAGGGTGAATTATACTGTATCCTTCTAGGCTTTGCTGCTCTTCCTCTCCCATGAAAGATGAGATACTTCCTCCCAACTTCACACTGTCCTCAGACTCACAGGGACAAGGACATTTAAGTGTGGTGTATGTGTTTCTGGTACTATGAAGATGTCAAAAACCCTCGTTGTGCATTACTTTATTTTGAGCTACGTTTCTCTGGTTGCAGCTGCAAAAACCTCTCCCATACAGGGAAGTACTTGCCATTTTACAAACATGAAATGACTGCAGTATCTCTATCTCACCTTTGTATCACTTAGACCTTCGAAAGAGATAGTCAGTCAACACATTAGCACCATGGCAGGTGGTTACTAACAGCACCTGCCTGGTGGAAAGGTCATTTCAGATTGGTGGACTGATTTAATATCTAACCCTGCTAAAGGCCTCCAAAATGCTAGGTATATCTGCATGACATACTTTATTATCATTACTGTGCTAACACACTATCTATATGAATCCCCACCGTTTTTCTTTGTTGTGGACAGAGGCATCAAAGCGAATGTCAAACTGTAAGATATATTTCTGTGTCGGATACATGTCTTAGTCAAGTGATAGTTACTCCCTGTGAATGGTAGGGATGAATTTTGTTTCCTGTGGCCAAATTCAGGTAGGTAACAGCATTTTTGCATTTTTCCAGAGATGACATAAAGAAACTAATTTTCTGTGTGAGACAGTTGTGGGGTAGTGATGGTGGGGAAAACATCTTAATTTAAAAGAGCAATTTTCTGATTGAATTAATAATTAGATTTCATGACGTCTTTCCAGACAGGGATCTTGCTTCCTTTTAAAAATGGAGTGAAAATCAATCAGCTGTTTTGAGCTTCAGGATGGAGGTGCACAACAAATATTCTCTAGAAATATGGCTGGAGAAGTACATTAAGCATCCTGATTAGTTGGTACAGGGTGCAAGGAAGGTGGAACATATTCTAAGAAATTCTGTATACAGACATGGCAAGGGGGTTGTAAGGGAAAGTGGCATTTCTGGTAATGATCTAGGAGTGGTGGAAAGCAATTTGCAATGACCCTTTTTACAGTGTTTCATCTCATCAAATGACATTTAATTTCTTTGATGATAATGAAAATATAATTTTAAAACTTCACTCTTGATCAATTCAAAATGAAACCATTATTTAAAATTTCTGCAACCAAGAAATGAAAAAAAAAATAGCCCATGTGAAAATACTTAATTTCAGCCTTGAAGTTTCAACCTCTTGGAGCTCTTCAAATGTAAGAAACCTTTAAAATTGCATTCCTAAGCAAAACATTTGAATATCAGAATGTGTAGATTCATTTTTTTGTCAGTGCTCTAAACTCAACAAAATGTTAGCTGTTTCTGGTGGATCTGAAACACCCTATTTTTGATGAAGAACCTTTCACTCAGAGTGATTTGTCTGACACACTGAGGGACTTGTCCTGGTTCTAAAGAATATAGTCTTTACTGGGTCTTCCGTGCACTGTATGCTTGTTTCTTTCTTAACTTGTCAGGCTGGTGATGGGTGAATCCCTTGTCTCCTGGATTTTCAGTCCAGGAATCGGTCTATGTCTCCTGGATTTGCTTATCTAACCTTGGTGATGCTGACTACTCAATGTGGTCATGTTTACTCCTCATGGACAGAAAAGCTACAGCAACAGCAAAAGTGTCGTCCCTTTGGATCGAAAGGTGAAAATGCAGAGGTAGAAAGCAGACCCAGCCTGGCTTCTTGCAGATACTCCTTACCAGACTGGTTTATACAACTAGGAATACCACCTTTTACCAAGATGAATGTTCAGATTTTCTAATTGCAAGGTGGTGGCATGCCCAAAGCATATGAAAGGCACTGCTACAGGATAGCAGTGAACAGGCTCTTGCTCTCCCCAGACATAACCATATGTGAATTTTGAAATCCAGATGGAATCACAGATTAATCCATTATCTCTGCTAGACTTCTTGTGTAAGTAGAGTATGGAGTTACAAACCACAGCAGATAGTGGTTTTCCATAAATCCTGCTGCAGCTGGTATGGGCTGTGAAAAGGGTTATCCTGAGGGGCTGAACTGTGGGAGGCATGCTCTGGATTTTAGTAATGCATTTTGTAAACTATTTTATTTGTAGATCTTGGCTTTGCTTAGCAAACAGCTGTGTGTCCCAGTCAGTGCTGAAAAGAGTATATCTGAAGAGAGGGACCTTGGGAGCACTCCCCAGCTCTCTGCTCAAGGTGCATACCTGATCATATCCAGTTTATAAATTAGACTGAGACACAGAGATATCCCATCTCCTGCTTTCTGCAGGCTTATTTCTGTGAAAAAACTGTGGAGACTGAATCAGAGAATATACTCCAGAAGGCAGCTTAAAAACAGTCTGTCCAAATCTGTATGATGGGACAATCAGAAGACCTGGTGAACAGGAAAGCTACTTTATAAAAGCTTAAGTTTCATGGGGAAAGAAAAAAAAAAAGGTGAATTTCATTCCTTAAATAAAATTACATTTTATGAGGTCTAAGTAAAAAAGTTTTCTACCAGGATTTAACTCTGTGTTAACTCTCTTTAACACTTAATTCAGAAGACCTTTGCAACCTATCACTCCGTGTGCTGGAGAGCTGATTTTCTACAGAGGTTTCTAGGAGAATGCCATTAAAGTCACCGTCATTTCCCATTTTTCTGCTTCTGACTTTAACAAGCCTGAGCATCAGAGAAACTTGGGAATAGGGAGGGAACAGCCAGAGTTCAAACTGTTGGTTTTTTTCTGTTTGCGAAGATCTATTCTTTCCCTTTCCATCTCCCACTTTGTCAGAGGATTGTGGCAGCTTATAGAAAATGCAAAAACAAGAACACACACACACACAAAAAAAAAACTCACAAAAATGTATCTCTCTTTTCCTGCCAAGCTAAAAAATCCACTTTGGTATTCGCAGAGCAGTTATGACAAATGCATGGCTGTGTTCAGATCATCTTTGGGGAGATGTAAAGCCACGCCGAGTTGTCGTGCGCGCTCACACGGTGATTTGTTGGTTTGATTCCTCAGGTCGCGAACTGGCAAGCACAACCCTCCCGGGATACCCTCCGCATGTCCCCCCTGCTGGACAGGGCAGCTACTCCGCTCCGACGCTGACAGGAATGGTGCCTGGTGAGTCTTCAGAAAGGGGGAGTGCCGGGGAAAGACAGCATTTCAGAAAGAAAACTTAGCACTTTTTGAATGTTCTGCACTGATTCCAGCATAAGACAAGAATATTGCTGGGATGGAAGGAGAAAAAGAAGTGTAAAGCAGTCTTAAGTAAACAAAGACTGCCAACAAAGACCCCCATACTAAAGATAATCCAACCTTCTGACTACCAAAGCAAGTTATTTGCCCTGGGACACTGAAAAAGTCTCCAGCCTTCCTTGTATGAACCCTGCAGGTGCTTTCATCTAGACTATGCCAGGTTTTCCCCTTTTAACACAGACATTGTGATAACCTGCCTCTTCTCTCTGAATGTTTTGAGTCTCACTGTGCTGTGTTTTAGTTGCCAATTTTTGGCTAGATATGGCCTAACCTTAGGTGTCTCAAAGCAAAGTTATAGCAAACCACATGACTCCTGGAAGAATTTTCCTCTTTATTTACCTAATTCGGTTATTTCCTTCTCCCTTTGGAAGCTTGTGTTGAGAAATGCAAGTGAGGTGGCAAAGGCTGGTGGGTAGGAAATGCTTCCAAGTGCTGCCAGTCACAGATGAGGGGCCCTGGGCTTTTATGTAGGCAGAATGAGGTCTGCATGAACATCATATAATCTGGGCAGTTACGATGATCCATGATGAGTCCATGATAAGTCCATGAAGGTGATACCATGATACTGGCAGAGAGTAACTCAAGGGTATGAACTGGTGGGTGGAGTGAGTTTTATTTACTCTTACCTTGGCACTAGATGTGAGATCCTCTCAGAAATCACCACACTTCCTTCAGTTTGAAAGAACTATGGGGGTATATCACTTGCTTCTATGGCCTTTGATAGAAACCTCACAGACACAGGTCTTTTCTAGGGAAAGCAGTATTCTGAGACCCCTCGAGAATTTTTATATATACAACAATCATGAATCTAGCCTCTGGTATCATGTGATTTGACAGTAATCATAATGTGAGGAATTTCATTCTCCTGGTTCTTTCTGAAACTTAAGAATTTTTGAACCAGACTTTTTGGATTCAGCAAGGTTAGGCAGTTATTTAAAATAAAGGGAAATTTTGTATTTAATTATATTGTTCTAGGAGGAGGTGATTGAGGAAAAACATTAAGAAAGCAGGAATTGATCGTACTGATTTCTTTCACAGTCTTTGTTATCAGTCTTGATTATGTTCTATAAATTGTGTTCCACCACGTTCCTCAGGAATTAAGAAAAAAAATATTCATTTAAAGGGTGTACTACAGTTTAAAACTACCTATAGTTTTTAACTAAAAACTAAATTAGGTCCTAGGTATTGCGGAAACAAATTTTTACCTGCAAAAACGTTGTCTGGAAAAGAATTGCTGGAACTGTTCTAGATGCAAATTATATAAAGTAAAATAAATGTGAATACCTGAAATCGAAGCTTGTTTGAGAAGAATTCAAGGTTTGACTGTTGTTTTACTCTCTCTTCCTCACAGACACACACAAATATGCAGATATTGGTAAATTATTGCAGGTCAAATCCTTAGGCTGATCAGTCTTCCTTCAATGCCGTTGCCAGAGTCTTATATTAGTTAAATGTTTGAGTTTGCATTCAATTTGTTTCAATGATTTCAAGTTGTAATTACACTCTAGAGGATTAAAAACCCAAAACATTTGTAATTCATATCAGTTTTAGGTTGACTCTGAAGGGTGAAAGCATTAAAAAAAAAAAAAAAAATACTTATACTTGGAAGTTTTGAAAAAGCTTGAGGAAGTCTGATACATAACCCACTGTGAAGATGACCATTAAGAGACTTTAAAAACACTTTGTCACAATTTCGACTTCTTTAAGGATGCCTTTCACAACAAATCCATCCGTGATCCCCAATCCTTTTCCCACTTAAGGGGAACACTTGCACTTCATTCTTTCTTGAGGTGCCGGAGAATAAACACATTAGCAGTCATGAAGTGTCAAGGAATACCTGACCGAGTGGCATGGCAGAACTGTAAAAACACAGGGCTTGGCATAGCTCAGCAAGAGGAAATACAGTGAGGATTCAGTGATATGGGCTCAGTTGAGTTGATTTCCCTGGGTAATGGATTTTATTTTTAACTACACATAGACTTGTGTGACCCATTATATTGAATAACTGCACTGCTCCCCTCAGTAGTTCCTTTAATAACAACCTTCTGCTCCAGCTAGTGTGAAGGTCAGCTGCAATTCCTTTAGGTTGTCCTTCTCATTTAAGTGAGAATTTGCTAACTAGCATCCAAAATACCTTCTCAAGCCTTACTCACCGCTTGTCATTTGCAGGACCAGTTTCAGAGGCATGTGGGGAAAATCACATTGCCCCCTTATACGTTGGCTCAAAAGCAGTTGACTGATAAAGTCAGGTGCTAGGGGCATATCTGTGTTTGTGTTCTGAAATGGCAAATTGCTGTGCTCTAACATATATGCAGGCAGAATATTTATTTTGCCAGTTCTCAGGGATTCACCTCGCAGCCTTTTCTTGTCAGTTTTCAGAACCTTTCCTAAAAATGTGTTTTCTTGATAAGACATGTAATTGTTAGCTGTGAATTACTGCTTGTAATTAAGTAATTGTATGAGTTAAGTGCTTAGAGACATGGGAGAAATGTATACATGATAAGACATACATGATATTTTGTTGCATGCTTGTTTCTCCTGACATTATTTATGCTACTGCAAATAGCCAAGTCCCCTGTAGCATCATTGTTATTTGTAAGGAATGTGTGTCTGCAGGAAAAGGGAAACCTTTTTGCCATTTGGGAGTTTCCAACAGGAGCCATATGGATTCTGCTTCTTGCTCTGTCCTTATCTCTTCTTCAGCTTCCATGCTCTTCTATCTAAACAGGAAAGGCTTATTCTCTACTTCCACCAGCCCTACAGTCCTTTTACTCTCCCCAGCGAGCAAAGATGCAGAAGAACATGATCTTACTATACCTCTATGTCTGTCAGAAAAATCCTGGTGCATGCTCTTATATTTCTTCCCTTTATTCTTTGCAAAACCTGAACCTTAAAGCATCATCAGGGATGTGTGGCTCGTGAAGATCTATGCCAGCCCAGATGATGAATTAATCATTTTTTTTTTCTGAAGAAATGAATGAACAAGCACATCACTTCCAGACCAGAAAGATCTACCACTTCCATCTGGCATGTCTTGTATGAAAGGAGAGGATCAGCCACTGTAAGCTGTTGGCCCATGGATACGGGCCAGTACTTTAAGGATAGCAACACGTTCTTATACTGAGCAATTCTGGAATGATTTGCCCAAAGGGGACATTTCTTTTTAATATTCATCATTTAATGCTTTATATCCTGAAACATGAAATTATATATCCTTTTAAATTGTTTATTTTTTCTAAGGGAGAACATCTTTGGATATTCTCATTATCTATTTAGAGGCTTAATCTAATAGGAATCTACTGATTCCTATTAAATCCTTGTACTTGTATTCCTGATACTGTCTCCAGATAGTAAATTTCACTGTGAGTGATGTGCTGTTATATACAGAAATGATCTCTCAGTTTCCTTTTGGTACTATTGCTACTATTTATTCATACTTAAGCAGAGGGGTTGGATTAGATGATCTCTAGAGGTCAAGTTCCCCTCGAGCCTTCTGTGGTTTTATGATGAAACCCATTGCAGTGGCCAGTCCTGGTGGGGCAGAGGGAAACATGTGGGCAACTGTACCAGAATTGCAGTTTACATGCCTGCTCTAAGTAGAAGCAGCTCAGGACACTGAAAAAGGGGTTGCCAAAACACAGTGGCCTCAAGTCCGATATTTTCGCCTAGACCTCTCTCACTGAGCATTGTAAAACATGAGTATTTCTGTCTGTAGTGAGTACTGTACATATACTGATTCCTTCATGTATATAGCCCTCAGGTTTTCTCTGAGACTTGGTAGCAATGTGAGTTTAGTTGTGTGCAAGTAATATAGAGTAAGTTTGCCCTGGAACTGCAAAAAGCCTCTTGCATTTGATGCCTGTGCTTGGTCTCTTTACTCACAGAGTTCTGCCTCTGATTTTATGAGATAATCAGAGGGAGCTGGCAGGGTCCACCTGCACCAGTTCCATTCCCATTTCCTTGACAGCTCAGAGGAGGCAGTAGTCCTGGTACTGTGCACACTCCCAAAAGAGTGTGTGTAAGGGGACAGGTTGGCTAAAAAGTACAGTATGTTCATGCTTGAGAAAATCGCGTGTACTTTGGGGCTTGGAGTGTCCACATCAAGAAGCTCTATTTCTATAGAAAATTAACTGGGAAAAGATTATGCATAAATACTCATTCTTGTCTGTTATTTAATCCAGTTCTTGTATTAGAAGTGCTCAGACAACAGCCCTTGTTACCCTCTTTTGTTTTTTTTTTTCCACTTTTTCCTTCTCCTCTTCTCTGGGGAGGAATTCTCAGCTTTTCTCTCATGTTTTCCTTTCTTCTGGACTGTCATTCACATTGTCCTCTTGGGGCTCTGTGCACAGGGTGACAGGAAAGGGTAGACTGTCCGGAATAGAGATGCTGAAAATATAGTCATTAATGGGACTCTCGAAACCCAGATGTCCTTTCTGAACACCGGTAATTTGTTTTTAATGAAAAACCATGCAGTGACCCTGAACAAATGAATTTCCTTTATATGAAGTCTATGTGCAATTACCCGACTAAAGGAACCTGAAAACAGTGTCATTCAAAATGGGACTTCAGGAAAAAAAAAAGGCATAAAAATAGTAAGAGTGCCATTAACAAGCTTTTACCTAGGAAAAAGGGCTAGTTCTAAAACACAAAACAGAAAAAGATGATGTTAGGAAAGAAAATATGTAGTTTTCTGAAGAATGTTCCCCTGTGTTTAGCTATGAAAACTATATGTGGGACAGATACTAATGCAGAGAGAGAGAGAAGCTAGAGTATATGTCTTTTCCCTATTCAGGCTATTCGTCTAATCTAAGTCTGAAAGAAAAAAACAGCCTCTCTCTTAATCATCTTGAATAGAAATGTATACCAACTTTTAGAATTGTGTAACTGAGACAACTGTTGTATCACAGCTCAGATAAGGCAAGAGTTAATATTAGAGTCTACTAATATTTAGTAATAGACTAATTTAGTAGTAGACTAATAGAGTCTACTAGTATTTAGTAGACTCTAAATAAAACCTTTAGGGATTATTTTATTCTATTGTCATGGGGAGCCTGTGAAAATTTAAGTCGAAGTTATTATCATTAGTTTATGGTACTTATTCTGGCTTTGTGTACAAATACTACCTTCATCTGTGTTTTGTGATAGCATTTTGTAATCTCATGACATGCAACAGTAAATATTTGAAAGCAAGTTTGCTGGAGGTTAAAGCTGGGAGATTTAACACTTAAAAGCAGGAACACAGGAAGAAAATTACATTGGGTAGCATAGCAGATGGAGTCAGGTGAAGACTGCCTGAACCATGTTTTCTTCTGATTTACAGCATAAGGCCTAGAAAGGACTCCTGCTTTACAGCCATGTAAGTGAGAAGAAAATCAGGCTATGAAAAGAATGCAGCAAATGAGGAATAAATGCTTAACATTCCTCTGTAGAAAGTCTGTAAAACCTCCATGAAATCTGAAAATTATTTTGACCTCACCTGCTCCACACTGACTTATGTCAAGGATTCTTTTCTCTCTTCTAATTATGGTCACTTAATTGCACCGGTATCATGACTTTTTGCAACTCCAGTGTGTAGTGGGTCTTAACTATATTTCTATTACTTGAATCTACTCCCACTACATGTGTCAACATATGTGAAGATGAGGGGTAGGTCTTCATCATGGTGGTAAGATGAGCCATTAGTAGCCTTTTCCTATTCATCTCCAGACTATATTCTCATGACTCAATTGAGTGATGTTCAGCACTGGGAAGCAGCTATAGATGTCATAGCTACTTCCCTGGACCACAGCATTCCTGTGTTCTAGAGTTCGAAATCTGATTTGTGTTCACTTCTGAGAGAGGTTCAGACTCTTGCAGAACCGTGTCTGACCTAAAGGTGACAGAGGACCATTCCTATAGGCATATCTGGGTCATCAGATGTTGCTGCCTGTGTGATCTACCTTCCATGTCTGTGATTTTTGTGTATGTCCAACCATCCCAGGCAGCTGTTGGTGTTCAGCTGATGCTAAAAATTCAACTGCAGAACATAGAACAAGTAACAAAACTCACTGGCACTAGCCATGAGCTTAGTATTGAAAGGGTCAGTCTTAAAAGCTTCCTTCATGTTCTGCAGCAAAGAATATCTTTTTTTTTCTTTTTTTTTATTCCCTGGGAGGTACTATCTGTAAGGTCTATAAGGCTAGCATTTGGCTCTTCCCTGCTCCTTCCCTTCTGAAGGAATATGCAGTGTTGTCTGCACATTCCGGCTGAAATCCTAACACGGCTGAGATGCATGGAAAGGATGCTTTTGATATTGCTGAGGTCACTCCAGGCCCCCATACCTTGACTCCCAGATTGAGAATCCACTGCTCTGATGTTCTCAGGTGGTGAGTGTTCATGATGCTGCTTGTCAAAAGAGGGACCTTTATGTATTCTGCTCCAGTAGGGGATGAGACCCTTGACTTTCCATAAGAGGCAGAAGCACACTAAAAGCTGATGTTACTTCTGAAATATGCTGTGTTTCCTACGAGCAACTATAGGCCTAGATTATAGACTTTGTGCTTGGGGAGCTTTCCTGAAATTAATCTATACCTGTCTGAGGATCTTGTCTTTCCTCATGAAAGAGTTCACCATTCATTCTATGAATGACATGCAGCTCAAATCCAGCCACCATCCGGAGCTCCCCAGAAAAACACTAATTCTTCTAGATGCTCACAAAACCATGTCACAGCTTCCACTGATAAAACTAACAGCCACTGCAAAGGATAGAAAGTATTGACAATTGGGTCTGAGGATTTCTTTCTTCTGGTGAATGAATATACTGTTTTCACCTCAGGTAAGACTCTATAGCTGCTTTCCCACTCTTCTATAATCTCAAGAGGCAAATGTTAGAAAAGGTTCATTGCAAATTATAAAGCAAGTAATGTGCCATTGCCAATAACTTAGGGCAACACCATATTGCAAGTAAACTGATAAATGATTCCTTTTATTAATAATGAAGCAGATAAATATTTTTTCACTGCTCTTGTATATCTTGAACAAGAAGCTATTAATATTATGGAAGCCTAACAAAAGATGCTAGTGTTCATTTCACAGGGAAGTAATTGCTGCACTTGCTCAGATTTAAAAAATATTATTTTAAATATGACGTTGTCAGATATTATTTCGTTAAATTGATTTAGAAATTACACTGGAAAGAGAGCAATAAAGTGAAATATTTGAAGAGGAAAATCCAAAAGTCTCTAGATTTACTATTCCCAATTGTCTCTTTCTTACAGCCAGATTCTCAGCCAGGGTCAATTAATCTAGACCCTCCTGACATCCAAGGCACTTTCCTGCTTTACACCATTTGTGATGGTAGTCTCAAGTGTTTCATGTATGATCAAACCAGGCTATTCTTCTGGGCTGGTTCACTTTGCCCCAGCCGTAATTTCTTCCCCCTCCCTTTAAAGAAAAACATTATGCATATCTAAACATAAGTAAGCAAGACAAAGTGTGTATAAACAAAAGGTTCCATATTTAGAAGTGAGGGGAAGGAGAAAAAACATATTGTATTGCTCCACTCTTTGGAAATTTCTATGCATTTGTAATAACAAAATTACCATAATTTGCTCGTTAACGCAGCTAGAGCAGTCAAGCATTGTTCCAAACATGCAGGGGCTGCTTCTCACTCTAGGTCTGCCAGTGAGTTAAGCACAGGGAGAATTAGCATGCAAATAGCCCTAATTCGGCAGCCGAGCTGTCAGATTTACATTCAGTGGCTTGTTTCATTTGAAATCCCTGACAGGAGCGGCTTATGCAATCCCACCCTCAAGTAGATCCAGGCAGAAGAGGCACCAAGGGGGCACTTCCTGAGTGACAGTTTGGCTAGTTTCAGTCAAATAGATCAGTCACATCAACTGGTAACAGTGTACAGCTACTCCGGGGGGTCCGAGGGGGTGGGGAGAACGTGGCAGGTTATGGTTTCCAGCCAGACCCGGCCTCCGAAACTTTCCCCAGCCTATCAAAGGGCTGCGGCACAGAGTTTTCCTGCAGCTGACTGAACGATTTATTTGAAGCACTGCTTGCGGGATAAAGGAGCGTTTGAAAGCTTTTTGTGTGTGTTTGGATATTGATTTTCAAGTTAAGTCGCAGCTTGCTGGAAAAGGGCGTCTTGCTGGGACGTGTTTAATGTTGATGGACGAAAAGGCAGTCTTTATAGTCATTTCTGCTTGTACTCTGCCCAAGACTCCTTTGTGGTAGTTTGTGTAACTGAACTCATGTGGCATAATTGCAGAAGCTGCCATCTTAGAGAAAAACAAATAGCACAGCACGGATGGCAGGACTTGGCCCCTCTGCACAAATTGATGTCTTTTACTTTATCCCACAGTCATCCATTGCCAGTACAAAAGGAGAAGGAGGGAAGTAGGATGTGTTCTCTGCTCCATCTTGATTACAGAGCTAGCTTTATTTTGCAAGCCTGATAAACAGCAGCAAAGCAAGCTTTCCTTGAAAGAATTCCGACTTCTTCTGACTTCCTATGCAAGGCTAAATCCTGCATCTTCCAGGCAGGGGAAAACCAGTGCATCTTTATTTCTTGCCTCTGTGCATTTCGAGGTGGAGTACCTAGAAAGAGACACTGGCAGCAGTCTAAAAATAGAGGCTGTTTCCTGTTGTTAGTTCATTCAGTGTTTTAAGAATGATTTCTTGCCCAACGGCAAATAAAAGCTGTGATTGTAACAGCAACAACAAAACTTTAGAAAGTCTATTCTTGCTGGTGTTTTTTTACAACATTATGAGACAGTTTTCTATCCTACACAAGCTGGCTGGTTTGAGGCACATTTGTGCTGGACACCTTGCAAACACAGCAAATGTTAAGTCTCTGCCCCAAAATATCTGCAGTCACAATTTTAGAAATGAGTTAGCTATAAGTATGTCTTCTGTGTGTCGATTGAGTTAGCCCTGTGACATCAGAGACCTCTTGTCTCTATGACCTATGTCTATGACCTGACATCAAAGAACTGCCTGAAATGGTGCTGCTAGGAATATGAGGAGCTCGTCCTGGATAGGGTTTGCATCCATCAAGGCTGGCTCTCAAGATCTTTTCCGCTGGTCAGCAAGGCATCAAATCTTTATCAGGTGGAGGCTGCAGGGTCCACTGTAACTGTATCCCAAGAGACAGACAGCTGCAAGACATGTAGTTCTTGCAAGTAAGGTTTTTTTTTCCATAGCAAGGCCCAAGAAAAATTACCACACAGCCTCAATACCAGCTAGATCTACCGTTTGATTATTCCTGGTCTTGCCATCATTTTGAAGAAAACTGATGCTTTTGAAGTATCTGTTGCTGTGAACATACAGCCAGCAAATAAGATAGAGCTACCCATATTCAGGAAGCTCTGAAGTCCAAAATAGTTCTGATTTTTGAAAATTGTGATTTGGATTAGCAAAGTACACCATTAAAAGGCTGATAAGGGTACCTGGTGTCCTGAGCTGTGTACGTGTATTCCTAGAACAGAAAGCAGGACTGCCTGCTAACTGAAACATGCTTGGTTGAACTCAAATCCTCTGCTAGTGAAGATGAGGTTTCTCAGTCATAGTACCAAATAGGTGAGAGCAAACACATAATTTCTGAGCATTCATCAACACCTGGTTGTATGCTCTTGTGTTATATTGATAACCGGAGTTTTAAAAAAGAGATGCAGACATTCGAAAGCATATCTTAAAGATGCCTTAAATTGTACCACAGATTTGAGACCTGGGCAAGTAGCAGACATTTTTATATGACAGGTGAGGTCAGCAAATGGGTTCCTCTGTCCCCTGCTGCAGGGAGTCACTGCTTCCTCTGGGCGATCTTACGTGGCTTAGGGTCTGTTGGACCAGATGCTTCATGCAAAAGCTCCTCCTCAGCTTGCAAGGCAGTGAACCTCTTCAGTAACTGCAAGCATTCAGGAGAAGCAGGAGCCTTTCTCCTTGTATGAGACGTAATCAGCTCCATCCTTTGCCTTCCTCATTGCTTGGACGTAATGCCCAAGGACAAGGCACTGTCTGTGGCTCCACTGCATTTAGCGGCTGGGGTTTTCAGAGCTGGGATTTCTAAGCCTGTGTAAGTATTTTACATACATGAAAAAGCTGCAGATTTGTGGACTTTGTGAAACAGCTGGCATATGGATAGGAGAAGAAATACATGCTGTGTTGTATAAACAGGAGACCCGGTAAGACAAAGCTATTCTGTATTCTCTATCCCATATAAACTTTCTTCAGTGAGAAAATGATAGTTCAGCAAAAGGGTGTCTAATTTTGATCATGTATGTTTATTGCAATGAGGCAAATTAATGCTAGTACACGGCAAGGAGCTGTTCACATGGAACTAAACCCAGGGCTGTCAGGATGTGTGCAGAGTCATGGGCTTGTGCCAGGAGGAGGTGACACAGAGTGCATGATACCTTCTAGAAAAAGTCTAGTTAAAAACCTCTCTTAACCATAATATGAACTTTTCCATCAGTCCTCACTTTCTATGTCCTTGTTTTTGGTGCATCTTTTGGCTGGTTACTTACAGCAAGCCTGAGCAGACTGGCCATCAGAAGTAGCTTTTGTGACAAAACGTTTCCCAGAAGTGGGAGGCCCAAGACTGCCACACTTTTGAAGATTTTCTTGAGTTTGGTTGATGTGTTTTCTTCTACATTAAAAGAATGTGATGTAAAACCAAGGTAGTGTTGTGAAAATCAAATAAGAATCTATTTGTCTTCTGCCATTCAAGAACTCTTTTCCATTGTGTTTGGTGTCAGCAAGAAAAAAATGACTGTTGCTGTAGCCATGTCTCTGTATTTCTGAGCTACTGTGAGGTCACTGATAACACAGAAAGAACCTGAGGGGATGACCTTGATCCTTAAGGATGAGCCTTAGCTGTAACTAGCAATAATCTTACTCTCGAAGCCTGAAATATAGCCAAAAATCCAGTCTTGCTGGAAGACAGGTTAGAATACAGAGATTCTGAGCTACTCAGCTTTGTTCATTCACTCAGAGGGCTTAGAGGAGGTGAAGTCTTCTGTCTTTATGGGTGTTGCCACCATGACAGAAAGGACAGGAACTGGGCATAATCTTAGACAGTCAGAGCAGGTGAACCATGAAAATTTCAGCAGTGACCTACCATCAGCTTTGTCTAATGTATTTTTCCAAGGAAAGGAGGTCACCAGTGGGATATGGTGAAAACATGCAGGCTTACGAAGTTACTTCTTGAGTAATGCAGATTCTGTGCATCTTTGTTCAGACCTGCAATTCTAAATTTAATGAGTACCTGGTTTATCAGGCATGGTGTTGAAGGGCTTACGGTTGGACTCAATGGTCTTGAAGGTCTTTTCCAACCATAATGATTCTATGATTTTATGATCACCTTCCTGTTAAAAACAAAATACTTTTATCAAGCTATCTAAATCCATAATTTTCAGACTTCAGAATTCTGACTTCCACATTACAATTACTTCATTGTGGATCATAACATAGTAACTACTTCCATTATTAGTTAACTTATATAACTCCTGAAAGCAGCCATACATTACATTACTGGTATGAAGGCAGAAGTTGTAGCAATGCCTAAAATCAGAGTCAAGCATGAAGCAGAATATTTGCAGTTGGCCGAAAAGCAAAATTTCAATTAAGAAGTTTAGAAAATTTCATTCCGTGGGATATTTGTTGACACTTTTAACCTCAATCGATGATTAAAACAAAATTTTAAAGCTTGATATTTTTTGCAGGATGCCAATTCTTTTTACCTTGCACTACAGCATGGTGTAGACCCTGGTCAGTTTACAGCAGAGTAAATGAAACAGTGCATGTTGTAATACACTTGCAAGCTGCAAATGCACAGATCTGGAAAAGGCATAGATAGATGCAAGTGTGCAGAGTGTACTCTCTGAGACATCCTGAGTGGAAAGAAAACATGATATGCGTGTCATCTTTTCTTGATTCAGAATGAAAAGGACTTTCACAAAGTTTTAAGTTAGCCCCATGGACTGGACGTAAGAGAGCTGCAAGCTCTTCCAGGGAGTAAACAGCCCACTTGGTACACTTGCTGGTGATGGGTAGCTGGAACAACTGACCATGCGTTTGAGACAAGAGCAGGGATGAACTTTACTCCCAGACCCACATTCTGCAGCAGATGTATAATGGCCCTGTGCATCATGAAAGTGTTTAACTTTGGCTGGTAGCCACTGCCATTCATATCCTCACTTCCTAGTCCATCTGAAATCCCAAAACTCTGTGTACTGGTGTCTAGAAAAGGCAGAAATCTATGTAGAAAGGGAACATAGTGAAGAGACAAATTTGTCCTCATCATTACTTGTAATACAATAGTATATGTAGTTGGGTTTGGCCATGGTCCATTTTGTGAAGGGAAATAAATCTTTGTTAATGTAGTTCCAATGTAGTTGCTCTGTGGTACCACCCACCTTTGTAGTATCAAACACTTTTGTGTACAAAAGTTTAAAGTGCATAGCTAAAACCCATGTGCTTGCAATAATTGCTGATGTAAATCTTTTTGTCTTCCTGCAAAGACTGGGTGAGGTATTCCATAAATATGTCAGAAGCAGCATTAAAATTTTATGGCAGGCAGCACGGGTCGAGAATAGTACAGTGACTTCACAGCAAGGTACGTCCACCTTAACCCACAACTCATTAGTCATTGATGGGGTTTCTGTGCTTTGTAGCTTCTTGGAAATGAGGTAGTGCTAAAAAATCTGTACGTTACTGACTTTTTAAATATTAGAATCGACTCAGAGTCATTAAAAATAAAAGCATACATCTTTGACCAGGCACTGGTTAATATAAAAAAAAGAGAAGGAGGAAATGCTGTTCAGTTTCTCTAATTATATACAAAAAAATGTAACAGTAAATTGTTACAAGCTAATTGGCAGCTAATTGATATGATGGGGAACTTTGGAGAGATGTTACCTGATCATGATCAAATTGCCAATTGCCACTGTTAATAAGCTACCCAACTCTATTTTGCAAATGACAGACAAGTACTGTGATGGTACACTTTTTGAGGCTTCAGCTCAGAAATCACAAAATGATTGAGGTTGGAAGGGTCTTTTGGAGATCATCCAATCCAACCCTCACCCCTCATATACAAGCAAGGTTACCTAGACAGGATTGCATGGGGTTACTCCTCACTAGGGGCAGGACCCTGCACTTGCACTTGTTGAATGTCAGTAAGTTCCTCTCCATCCATCTCTCCAGCCTACCCAGATCCCTCTAAATGACTGCACAGTCCTCTGGGTTATCAGATGCTCCTCTCTTCTGTATCCTCAGCCAACATGCTGCAGGTGTACTCTGTCCTTTCATCCGAGTCATTGATAAATGAACAGGACTGGACCCAATACTGATCCCTGGGGGACACCCCTAGCTACTAGCTACAGGCCTCCAACTAGACTCTGCACCAATGATCATAACTCTTTGAGCTCTGCCCTTCAGCCAGTTTTCAATCCATCTCACTGACTACGCATCTAACCCACACTTCCTGAGCTTGCCTATGAGGACGTTATGGCAGACAGTGTCAAACCCTTGCTGAAGTCAAGGTAACTGCTCTCCTCTCATCTGCCCAGCCAGTCATTCCATTATAGAAGACTATCAGGTTAGCTGAGCATGATTTCCCCTTAGAAAATCCATATCTGATCGCCTTATTGTCCTCTACATGCTTAGATATCCCATTCCTAGATGGCACAGGATGGGCTGTAATATCACCTTTCCAGGGATGGAGGTGAGGCTGTCTGGCTTGTAGCTGACAGGGTCCTCTTTCTTGCCCTTTCCGAAGGCTGGTATGACATTGACTTTTTTCCAGTCCTCAGACACTTCTCCTGTTCTCTGTGACCTTTCAAAGATGGAGAGTGGCTAATAACATCATCTAGCTCCCACAGCACTTTTGGGTGCATCCCATCAGAGTCCATGGTTTTGTAGGTCTCACATTTGCCTAAGTGATCTCTAACCCAATCTTCTACAACCAAGGACAAGTCTTCCTTTCTCCAGGCTTCCTCTCTTGTCTTCAGGGTCTGGGATTCCACAGGGCTGGCCTAAAGACTGAAATAAAGAACACATTAAGTAATTCTGCTTTTTCCGTGTCTTTTGTAAGACACAGACTCAGCTTGCTCAGCAGTGGACCAACATTTGCTGCTGATATGCTTGAAAAAGCCCTTCTTGTTGTCTTTGACATTACTTGACAGATTTAACAACTCCAAATGCATCTTAGCCTTATTCATTGCATCCCTACATAGCCTGACAATATTCCTATATTCCTCCCAAGTGGCCCGCCTTTCTTTTCCACATTCTGTATACTTCTTCCTTTTTCAGTTTGAGTTTTGCCAGGAGTTCCTTGCTCATCCATGCAGGTCTCCTGCTCTCTCTGCCTGACTTTTTACTCATAGGAATGCCCTCATCTTGAGCTTGGAGGTAGAGGTCTCTTGCACTCCCCTTACTTCTAGGGCCCTAGGGCATGAGATTCCTGCAAGGAGGTCCTGGAAGCCCTCCTGAAGCCCAAGGATGTAATCACCTTGCATCCTCCTTACAGGATCCTGATCTCCACCATCTCATTGTCACTGCAGCCAAGGTTGTCCCTAACCTTCACATCTCCGAGAAGTCCTTCTTTATTTGTTAGTACCAGGTCCAGCAACACAGTTCATCTTGTTAGCTCCACCACCACCTGTGTCAAAAAGTTATCATCAGTACTCTGCAATAACCTCTATGGCAGTTCATGTCTAGCTGTATTGTCTCTCTGGCAGATATCGGAGTGGTTGAAATTGTCAGTGAGAACCAGGGCCAGTGATGATGAGGCTACTTTGAGCTGTCTGTAGAAGGTGTGATTAACTTCCTCTGCCAGGTCAGGCAGCCTGTTGTAAACACCCTCAACAATATCTCCCATGTTAGCCTGCCCCTTAATCCTTAACCATAAGCTGCGCACTTTCCTGCTTTTAGGCAGAGCTCGGTACATTCCAATTGCTCTGGCACATCAAGAGCAACTTCAACTCCCGACTTGTCTTTCCAACAAAGCACACAACCATCCATGACAGCACTCCAGTCATGTGAGCTACCCTGCCACATCTCTGTAATTGTAATGAGATCATGGCCCGGTGACCACATACAGATCTTCACTTTCTCCTGTTTATTCCTCATGCTGCCTACTAAGACTTTTGGAAGCATATATGTTAAAGTTTGGGTGATGGTTGTGTATATACACTTTATTCAAGGGTTGATCATTGGAATAAAGGACATTGCAGGCTTTATCGGTACATGTCTTTTATGGGTATATTTTTGCTGATGGAAGAAGGAGCTATGGATAGTTATAAGCAATATATATTACCTGTTGAAATCTAATGATACATTAATCCTCTATGTAAAGTTTTCATTAATGTAAGCTATGCCAAAGATAAATGAGTAAAGGGCAGATTCATATCTCTGTGCATATGCAGATGTCTTTGGGACTCTGTGTGCATGTATCTGTCTGTACCTGTATGCTCTACTTCTGCATGCATGCTTTTGCTTCTGCAGGCTGAGTGCATCTGGGAGGAAATAGTTGCACACCATACTGTTCTGCACATCAGAAAAAAAAAAAAAAAGGGACTGAACAAGTAATTTGAAAATGAAACTAGCTAAAATGACCAGGACTTCTGGATGGCAGAAGGCCAGAAAGTACAAATGTCAATACGCACTTTAAAGAAGCAAGGAGATGACAGGGATATTTCTCTCTGATTCTCCCCAAACAGATACAAATAGGACCTGCTTATATATATATTTGTATGTATATGTATGTATGTTCTTTTTTTCCTTCAGTAAGCTTCACTGATATAAGTACAGGTATAATTACTGGCCAGCAAAATGCATGGAATTGCACTGGAATGGAAAATAAATGTGTCATAGATATATTAAGGGTGGAAAGGGTTGTCTAACCAAGTCTAACCTGTGTTATTACATTCAGAGACTTTTGAGGAACATTTATTTTTTTCTATTCAGTCTTAGTCACCACCACTAGCGGGCTTCTGCTCCCTGGTGGAACTACATATTATTAGCAGCAATGACTGTGAATTTTGTTTTGTCTGAAGCAACAGGTTCAACTGTGCCCCCCTGCAATAACACAGATGTCACTTTTCCTTATGGTTGGTTCCTGAAGGGAGCTTGGTTTATACAAGGTGAGCATGCACACGGAGAGGTGCAGGCTAATGTGTCCAATGTATGTCAAGTCACTGTGCCCTCAGATATATTGGCGTAAGTGTGCTGACCTGTTAACTGCAGAGTGATTGTTAATTCCCATCAGACCTTCAGCCCTTCAGTGCCATGAACCAAGTTCTTCGGAACTTTGGCTGAGGCTGCAATAAGCAGCCTGGTTTTCAAGGATTTTGACATGGTCAGACAGCAAAGCCATAGTTACTTCATTCTCCAGGGCACCTGCCTTTGCCTAGAAACAGACCTGTTTATGGCTAAGGGTCTTTAAGTGCCCAAGTGTAGCTCATGAATATGCCTACCTACTAATGGAGACAAGATGTATGTCCCTTAAGAAAGCAGGATTTTGCTGCCTGCATCATTTAGGCCTTTTAAGCAGATAGCTGCAATGATGTCCTTAGCTAACACATGCACAAACAGCATAGGAAACATTCTGAGGTTGTAGCCAGCAAGTTGTTCTTTCCCTTTTTAGGAGAGAAATGAGATTTAAAAAACAAAACTGTTTTATATTTGCCAACAGTTATGGACTGATTTTTCCAAACAGAGTATTAAAGGTGTTACATAATAAAAACAGAATGCTGCTTATGTGAGTGATAAGAGTAATTAATAATTTTAGTAGCATTTTCAGACTTTTTCAGTACCTAGAAGTTCTAGGGACTCTGTCTTGGCTAGAGCTGGCTTAAATTTATGATGTAGTTTTATGATGTTTTAAATAGAATGGGCAAATAGTTTGTTGTGGTAATAATCTTTTGATTAAAAGAAAAGATTTTGTTCTGGATAATGAAAGTTTTACTTAAAATATATTTCTGAGGAGTGCTTATTTGCTGAAATTAGAAAAACAAAAAATAAATGTGTTAATAGCATTACTTTTTTTTCTGACCTCCTCTATTTGTTAACTCTTTATTTCTTTCCTTCCTTTGGAAATGGGTAAAATGCTGGATACAATGCTGAGGGCCCAGAGAAAGTGAGCAGCTGCCTTATCCTTATTTTAAAACAGAGGATTTCAAGCATTTTGAAAACTTTTTTCTTCTTTTTTTTTCCCAAAGGCATTCATTTTCCTAAATGAAGCTCTTCAGTCCCTTTTGAAAACATTTCTTTCTAATTAAATCTCCTTTTGATCACAGACTGTTCCGAACCCTGCATTGTCCCATGTAGTGCTCCAATGGCCCAGTGCTGCTGAGCCTCTTCCTTGTCTCATGAGAATCCCTTCTTTGGGATGGCTTTTTTTTTTCTTTTTTTTTTTTTCTTTTTTTGTTGTGGTGGCCTCGATTCAAAAGGCAGGCAAATGCCAACTGCTAATCCAGAGGAAAGGATAATGATTTTCCTTCAGCCAGGCACTCCAGAAGGAAGTGCTTTGCCAGAATCCTGAGTCTAAGGATCCCACCGTAATTCCTGACACCTTTCAGGTCTCAGGCACTAGGCTGTAATCAATGAAGTGAAAACCAAATGCAAACAACATTCTTTTTTAGTGAGTATTCGGGTGTTTGTTCAGTTGAAATGATGTGTTTTGTCATTTAAATGGTTTAAAGCAAAGGGAAGGGAAACGGAGAGACACATCATGCTGCTTATATTTAGGCAAAACCCTTCTAAATCACTGTAAGAAGGATCAGAAATATTATAGAAGATAATTATGAACTGTATAAAATGGCAAACAGGATGCCCTTTGGGTTCTCTGTGTTCTAGCCTCTGTGGTGATGGGCCAGAACTTGTGCCACCAAAAGCAAGTTTAGTCCAGAAGCTTGGTGGCTGGTCCTACAATAAGTGCATTTTTATTAGTTTTCCGTGAGGATACTGTATGTAAAATTGCCTAGGTGGCTCATGCCATGCAGATTAATGGTACACTGCTGGCAGAAGGGCACGAGCATAGCTCTAGTTCAGTGAGTGCACTTCATGCTTTTAGAAGCTGAATTGTATAATTTATCTGCTCACTCCACAAAAACGGTATGATTTATGGAAACAGAAAGGGCCTGAATTATTTTTTTCTGAAGGTGCTTTTTGGAAATTATATGAGTGCAGGGAATTTGGATTGGATTCTGTTCCTTAAATGACAACAAAATGATGCATGTGGAGGAATGGGTATCAAGGATTTTGTTACAGGAAGCACAGAAATTCTTTAGAAGCAGGAGTGAAGGATGCCAAAAGGCTTTAACCGTGCGATTGTCAACAGCTCTGTCCAAGGAAGCTTTCTGCTGGTCTGGGTGGGCCTAACTATAGTCTCTGTAGGTCTTTGGATTGCTGTCTCCCCTTTTTTTCTGAACTAGTAGAAAAGAAAGAAAAATGATTTACAAGGTATGCAGGCAGAACTGTCTCTATAAGATGATATGAATTTCTTATCTAAAGGCAGAAACTTGTGAAGGGCTCCAACTTTTGCTACATCCCATTCTCTCTGCTCTCTTCACTCTCCTGACTGCAGAAGTGGTGTCAGATACAGTTGCCTCAGGAAGTGCAGAGAATTTAACTTCGATTTGTAGCAGAGGACAGTTTTTAAAAAAGAAAAAAGGCATACTTATGAATGGCTTTTGCTACCTTGCTCAATTTCAACATTAGCGTGACTCTCTTTATTCTAAAGAATCTGTGCTTAAAAAGACTGTTAAAATAGAGTGGAGAATAAGCAAATACTTTCATGTAGAGGTCATCAGGGGCGCATTTATACAATATACTATGACTTAGTTTGTTTGCAGTGAAGTCAGAAATGGATATACTTGTTTGTTGTCCTAAATAAATGGAGAATAAGGACGGTGTTATAATTTGAAATATATGTATACAATTTGAATTGGTGTTGGTTAGTAACTTGAATATATTCACAGAGATAAACTGAGTATATTACTATGTCCTATCTAGAA